GCCAAGTCCATTCCGAGATGGTAGCGGGGGCATGCTTGCCGATTCTAGGCATACTCAAAATTCTCTAGGTAACTCCTCGATGTTACTGTCTATGCCTGGCCAACAAAAATACCGCCTGGCAATCATCTTCATTTTAACAATCCCCATGTGTATTTCATGCAAGTCATTTAAAATTAAAGATCTTAATTTTTGGGGAATTACCACTCTTTCACGCCATTGAAGACAACCAAACTCCAAACTTAATTCCTCATTGATCTTATAATGAGAAGTTAGTGAGTTTTCTCTTGGTACCCTTGTGAATTTCCACACAGAGTTGCCTTCTCTAACATTCCTTGATACTATAGACAGTATTTTATCTTGGGGCGTCTCATATGCCACCTCCATAAAAGAGAACGGTACCTCATTCAACCTCCTGAGAAGAAGTACCTGGTCTTCATCAAGAGACTCCCTGACACTCGATTCTAAAGGAAGACGTGACAATGCGTCAACATTGGAATTATCACTAGTTTTTCGAAATTCCACAGTATAATTAAATGCAGATAATTTTAAGGACCATCTTTTAATTCTGGATGATGCACATATGGGAATTGGTTTATGAGGTGAAAATATATGAATTAAGGAACAAGTGTCTGTGACCAATTCAAATTTTCGTCCCAGTAAGTATTGTCTGAATTTCTCAACGCCAAAGGTATGCTCAACGCTTTCTTTTCTAGTTGAGAGAAACGTTTTTCCGCTTCAGTTAATGTTCTAGAAGCAAAAGCTATAGGGCATTCTTCCTTTCTATAATTTCTATGACTCAGAATTACGCCTAGTCCATAGTCCATTAATAATGATTTACATTTTTTAAATAGCATTCGATATTCTTTCGTCCAATTCCATCTACAATATTTATTCAAAAGTTGATAGAATAGCGCTAAAATGTTTGCTGTATTTTTATGAATCTATAATAATAAATTGAGTCCTATGAAAGATCTTAATTGCGAAACATTCTTTAGGTTCACGCGTCTCTATCACTGCTTTATTTTTATTTTCTAAGGGATGCAGTGCATATTTATCCATTTTAAACCCTAAATATTACACCGATTTCTTTTTTAATTTACATTTATATCTGTTTATCTTAAACCTTTTTCTAGCAATCATCTAAACAATAGATCCAAATTTTGTTCATGATCTTCAAACTCTTTTCCTGCAACCAAAATATCATCTATGTAGCAGGCCACACCTGGCAAATCAGCAAATAGACCTTCCATAATCCTCTGAAATTTATTTGGTGCTACCGCTACGTCATATGGTAGTCTTTTATAAGAAAACAACCCATTTGTTGTGTTTATACCAAAAACAGCTTTGGCTTCTTCCGCTAACATTACATGTAAGTAAGCCTGTGATAGGTCTAGAGTCGAAAGTACGGTGCTTGTAGATAATTTTGAAAAGATCTCATCGATCGATGAGAGGGGATACCTATCTAATTCTATTGCTTTATTAGCTGTACATCTAAAATCACCACATATACTTACACTACCATCCTTTTTTAATACTGGTACTATTGGAGCGGTCCAATATGCATGAACTATAGGTTATAAAATGCAAGAATTCACTAAACGATCAATTTCATTCTCTACTTTGTTTTTTAGAGAGAAAGGTAAACTTCTGGCCTTACAAAACACAGGAGTCACATCCTTTTTAAATTTAAAAATTATTTTAACATCCTTTAGACAGCCCAAATCTTTGTTAAAAAAAATCTGCATATCTATCAATCAAACTATTTCTATTAGATTCATAATTAAAATTTCAATCCTAAACAATCAAGAATAATCAAGTTTTAACTGTTTAAGCCATTCTCTTTCTAACAAAAATACCTGGATTTTTCATTTACAACTATTAATCGTAAATATTGGTTGTCTTCTTTTACAAAAATACTTTTGACCTATAATCTCTATTGATTTGCCACAAAAGGATTTTAATCTTAAATTTGTTGGAAATACATTTTTACCTTGCCAATAAATCTTATAAATATCTTTAGGTATTAACGTAACTGGACTTCCTGTATCTATTGTAAAGCACAAAGAATATTCATCTACTGTTAAATTTATTGTGGCATCAGTTTCGCCCTGTACAGAATATATAGAGTCCTCTTGTACAAATTTACATCCCCACATTTTTTACTAGCTTTGCAGACCCTACTTAAATGACCCAGTTTTTTACATTTTAAAACAAGTCTTTGTTCTATGAGGGCAAACAGAGGCCACGTGTGAATGTCTTTCACCACATCTATAACACATTATTTCTCCGCTTTCCTGAAAGGCCAATGCTGCACCATACTATTATTGTACTCGCACTTTTATCTTTTCCATTCACAGGGGATATTTTGGCCACTAATTTATCTTGTAATTCTCTTGTATTTATCTCCGCCAGTTCGAACGAGATTGCCACTGCAAAACATTATCCAGGGTGACATCGTCGTTTTCTTGTAGTAGCTTCTTTTGCAGGCTTTCCAACTTGAATCCAGTCACAAAACGGCCTCGCATCATGGTTCCCAGCATATCGCCGAAATTACAATTTATTGCTAAATGTTTCAATTCTCTAAGATATTCCGAAATTGATTCTCCTTCCTGTTGAATTCTCTTTAAAAATCTGCATCACTGTGGTATCACTTTCTTCTTTGGATCCAAATGCAGCTTAATTCTTTGAATGATAGTATCATAGGGTTGATCTTTCATTAGTCCAGGAAGAAAATGTCGTTTCCCTGCTTCAAAGTTTCAGAATCTGGTAGCGAGGTAAAAATCAGCACTTTAATCTCCTCCTTCAGATGCCAAAAAGAGAGCCTCAAATTTGTGTACAAAAAGATCGAAGTGTCCTCCACTGGGCTATAGCATCTAAAAGGTACTATTAACTTTGGACTTGTCATGCTTATCTTTTCTACTCCTTTGTTTTCTTGATCCAGATAGTTTAAAAGATGTAGTTGTTATACTTGCATAGACGCCGTTTTCCTCAGCTTTTTGCTGACTCTGTAGATCGCGCATCCTCGTCGCCACTTTTGTTGTGTCGTAATTAGACGTACAAGAGCTCAAACTTGACCATTGCCAACAACAAATGTCCAATTTGTATATACATATATTTTTACATAATGAGGCTTTAAATGATACAAATAATATCCATCTATTTACATAAACAACAGTTAATATATAGCGAGAAGAGTAGAGGACTGAGCACAGATCCCTGAGGTACACCAGCCCATGTTCTTCGGTCCTTGGAAAATGTTCCATTGACCCGAACCTTTATCCTTCTTTCCCTTAAGAAGTCTGCAATCCAGATTAAGGCTTTTCCTCTTACTCCGATGTTGTGCAGCTTTTCAAATAATTTCTACACTCGATCAAAATCTGAGGTCATATCCAGGAATACGGCCGTTGTCTTCTTTGGCGGTTTTTCCTAGAAATCTATTATTGATTGACAGAAGTAGAACAGTTTATCAGTTGTACAGTGACTGGATCTTTAGGCAGTTTGGTAGAGGTTTATTTTATTATTGTTAGTGAGCCAGACTATGAGCCTAGAGTGGATAATTCATTCTGTTATTTTACAAAGTATGCTGGTAAGAGCAATTGGCCGATAGTTCTTGCATTCCTTGGCATCTTTGGTTTCAGTATTGGCACTATAATTGATATCTTCCAATTCTTTGGTAGTTTACCAGTTTTCCATGAAATGTTCAGTATTCGTAGGAGTTGATTTTTAGCTTTGTCTCCAAATTGTTTAATAATTTGACCAAAGATTAGAGCATCTCAAGGTGACATCTTAGATTTAACTTTCCTATTGATGAGTTTAGCTCTTTCAGTGTGAAGTCTCTCGAGTAAATATCTTGTTGATGGTAATTTCTTGCTTGTTTAACTAACCTGTTTACATTATTTTTTAGAGTCCTGCCTTCATTCGTATAGCTGAGTCTGGAAGTGCTTGAAAGATATTCAGCAATTATTTCAGCCATCTGTTTGTTCGTTCTCGCTATTCATATCGGTTAGAGTAATGGAGGATTAGTGTTGGTTTTGATTGTTTAATAACACTAATTAAATTCCAGTGATGGCTTTCCTTTTTTGGATCCATTTTTTTCGCAGAATTCTGCCCATTTTTCTCTCTCTCTTGTTTGAATATCAAAATTTTTTGTTCTATTTTGTGACTAATTTCAATGAGTTCCTTTGTGATTTCTTCTGTTTTATTTGTTTTAAGAAGTTGATTGAGTTTGTCTCTCTCTGCAATCATTGCCTCGATATTGTGGTCCTTCCAGTAAAGTATTCACAGGTCTTTACGTCTACCTCTAGGTATCGATACTTTTACAGCTTTGGATATGTTCGTAGAGAATTTTTCCAATTTTTTGTCAATCGTTTTGTGATTTAATTCTTCGTTGCACAGTTCTTCAAGCTTTTCTGTGATTTTTTTCCAGTGATCTTTTATTCTAAAATACAATATAACGCGGCTGATGATTGTAAAACGAAAATTGCAATTATACCTCGAATGTTTCTTTTAAACAAAAATCGAAATTTATTTCAAAGAGAAATAACGACCATTTCTAACTTTAAGGATGAAGTATGAAAGGGTGAAAATATGAAGAGTAATGGCGAACGGAAAAATTCGCGGTATAATTGCAATTTTCGTTTTACAATCATCAGCCGCGTTATATTGTATTTTAAATTACTTTATATAATATTTACGAACGGAAAAATATGTCCAGGGTAGCCTAGTGGACATGGCATCTGCCCGGTAAGCGGAAGGTCGTGGGTTCGATTCCCGCCCCTGGACACTTTTATTTTTCCGTTCGCCATTACTCTTCATATTTTCACCCTTTCATACTTCATCCTTAAAGTTAGAAATGGTCGTTATTTCTCTTTGAAATAAATTTCGATTTTTGTTTAAAAGAAACATTCGCGGTATAATTGCAATTTTCGTTTTACAATCATCAGCCGCGTTATATTGTATTTTAAATTACTTTATATAATATTTACGAACGGAAAAATATGTCCAGGGTAGCCTAGTGGACATGGCATCTGCCCGATAAGCGGAAGGTCGTGGGTTCGATTCCCGCCCCTGGACACTTTTATTTTTCCGTTCGCCATTACTCTTCATATTTTCACCCTTTCATACTTCATCCTTAGAGCTTTTATTCTGTTGAAAATTCTCAATTTTGAATTTTATGGTTGTTAAAATTGGTCTGTGGTCACTGATTGCACTTTTCAGAATTTTCCATTGTGTTGTAGGTGCTATGTTGTAATTTATCGCTGTGATGTCTTTTGCGGATTCTGTGCCTGTGGACTTGGATAGATAGGTGTTATTTTCGTTATTTAACGGTGTAAGGTCGAGGTCGGTTATCATGTCCTCAATCTGCTGACCTTTGTTATCCTGGAAAGGTGATCCCTAAGTTGGTCTTTCGGCGTTAAAATCACCAAGTATGATTGCGATATCCGAAGACGTTTCACTTAATGTCTCTATCAGGCCTGTATTGATGCTAGTATTATCGTGGTCATAAACATTTATGATTGGAATTGTTTTATCTGTAAGATAGATTTCTATTGCCTGAGCTTCTGTCGTGCTTTCTCTAGGCTTACTCTGATTATAGGCGTTTTCCTTAAATTTGATTTCTAGAGTTTTAATCAAAACGGCAAGTCCTCCTCCGAATTTTCCCGGTCTGTCCTTTCGTAGTGTTGTGTAATCTTTGATATTGAATCTCAGATTCTGATTCAATTTTGTCTCCTGAGGACAAGTAATATGTACATTGTTGTCACAGAGAAGACAAGTCAGCTCTTTATTTTCCTCTGGGTACCATTTATATTGAGTTGTAGTAGATTGAATTGTGTCCTCGTAGTAGATTTCTCATCATGAGCTCGAGCTGCAGCTCCTGACGCGGCGGTTACCCCGGACGCGGCAGCATTACTGGAGATATCAGCTTTGCTCTTCATTTGAAAATGGGTGCCGTTGCAACGTTAGTCATCTTCGAAACGAACCAGAATTTGGTCAAATATTCCAAGGGTCCAGGGGGGACCGCAAGGAGGTGTGGTCGGACTTCTCCCCTTCCCCCTGGAATGCCGTCACTACAGGATAAAGCACTCTTGGTGAATTATTTTAATTGTGATTCAGAATCTGCCACTGAAGCTTTACGAGCGTTTCGTTCCTTTAAAGGTATTCGAAGCGGTAAAGGACCAATGAGTTGCTACTCTCTAAAGCGATTGATTAAAAGTTTTGAGGAAACTGGATCTCTGGAAACAAAACCTCGGAGTGGAAGAACATCGACATGCAAGTCAGTGGCTGTTACGGTTTTGCAGAATGCTGAAGCTATTGAAACGTTATCCACGTATGGAGAAGTAAGTGCTAGACAAGTTTCTCGACAAACGGGGATTTCGTATGGAACAGTTTGGAGAGAACACACATTTAGAATTTTTCTATAAAAATACACTAACAAAATTCAAAGTTTTCACGAGTTGAAAGTCAGCGATTTTGAGAAGCGTCAAGAATTCGCTGCATGGGTTTTCAGGCAAATTGATATTGATGGAAACTGGCTGTCAAATGTTCTAAGAACAGATGATGCTCACTTTTATCTAAAGGGAGAATTTAACATTCAAAACTGCCTCATTTTGGCAACAGAAGCCCCTAGGAATTTTACAGAAATACCACTTCATCAGCACAGAGTTACAGTTCTGTGTGGGTTCACTTCTTCTTTTATTTTTGGGCCAATTCTCTTTGAAAATATCAATGGAAGAACTTTTAAAGCCGTTTTTGTAACTGGTAAACGTTATGTTCAACTTTTGAGAGAAAAGGTTATTCCCATATTGCAGGACAGACAAGCACTAAGCGAAATAGCATTCATGCAAGATGGAGGACCTCCTCATACTCCCGCGGTGCCAAACAATTGCTGAAGGATACGCTCGGTGAAATTCGTTGATAAGTCGCCACTTTATATACCAGTGGCCTCCAATATCACCAGACTTGATGCCTTACAATTTCGGTTATGGGGATACATTAAGTCGCGTTTTTATCGATGCCGGCCTACCACATTGGCCATGTTGAAGGCTTCTATCAGATGGCACGTTTTATAAATTTCAACTATTTAATTGTGACCATTCTGTCATCTATCGTCTGCAGGCGGTGTTTGAGAATGAAGTGCGCCACATTGAGCAAGGATTGTGACCTAATACAAGAGAGAAGGCAGTTACCTCATGTGTTATATTTTGCAGCTCTTTGTTTTGGGTTATGGGAATAATAAATGCTGTCCTCACATCTTGACTCTTTTTTTTTTTTCTGTGAACAGTAATTTTTTTGTTAATCATTTGCCCACATCTTATATTATGTCGTGCAGGCTAAAGTGTTATAACTTCTCGAATAACACTGGTATACACAATTTTAACCCTTATGTTTAGTTTATCGCTTTTCGCCCATTAGAAAAAATAGCATAAGGAATATTCTCTGTATCCCGCCCAACTTTAGAAATTTTGCGCAAAAAATAATACAAAATGATTTTGCTACCACGTTTTTTCAACGCAAAAGGTCGATTTAAAAATGAATTTTTTTTTTTGAGGGGATACATTTTCAAAATTATGTACAGTATAATAAACAATGATAACATTTGACAAACCCATAGGCTATTTGGAATAAAGTACGACAAATATATTTTGTCACTCCCCTCTATATTTCATCTTTGTATCATGACAAATATCCAGTTAAATAGTCAAGTGTCGCCAATTAGTCAAGAAACTATACATTCCTTATAGCACGAAATCCTATTAGTAGTGTTATCATAATTTTTGGTACTATATTAACATTTCAAAAATCGTGTATTGATATCAGTAGTTATTTTCAAACATTCATTCTATTTCACAAAACTCCATCTAAAATATAAATATTTTTTGCTACATGTTTTAATTTGCATATACCTATTTTACATATCTCAGATTGTATTTAAAAATCGTCAACCAATTCTTCAAACTTTTGGCGAAATGGTGTTTTATTAATTTATCATTTGATATTATTAGGGTTCTTTACCGGTATTCAAAAAGGAAAAATGCGTGTCGTTCAGTTATATTTTTCAATTTATCAAACAATTTGGCCGCTGAATCGCTGATTCTGGTAGAGCGCCATCTAGCGAATAAAGTTGTAACTAAAATCAATTTCGAAATTTTCATTATTTGCCATAAAAAAATCCCATTGCATCCTGAACACAATGGTGTTTACCGCATTGCCCTAGCGCAAATATTCGCGGAGTTATTAATTTTTAAAGTTGTGCGGGACTTTTGGATCACCCTGTATTTATGTTTATATAAAGGTTTAATATAATTTTTCTATGATTGTGTAAATATTCATTGAATTTATCATCATCACCTTTTTTGTTTACAAAAATGTTATATGAAAAATAAGGTAATGTAATTGAACGAAGTGGTTGCCCTCATGTTTACTGATCCAATGTTTTAATAATCTAAGGTTTATGTTGTAAGAAAATTATACATTGGTCAACTCGAGCTGGATTGAACGTAAGTAAAAGTCAAGTTAAAATGTATTTTAAAAAAAGGGGCAACTTATAAGTATTTTTTAACCATATATTTCAACTAAAAGTATTTGGGAAGAGAATTTAATAGCAATTATGGATGTAGAAACTTTAATTAAAAAATCAAAAGGATAAAAAAAAAACTATAAAAGGCATAGAGGAAAATATCGAATCCATTGTGTCTATGGTAGATATTAATGCAACGAAATGCAAACTAGATTATGCAAATAATGATTTGATGAAAATGAGTGATGTTTTCTTGCAGCAACTTGAGGATGATGATTTGAATGACGAAGTGGAAATTTGTATAGATAAGTGTATAAGATTAAAGTGTGAATTAGATTTAAAGCATAATGGGCAAGAACCATCTAAAAAAAAAAGAAGTTAATTTACACGTTAAAATGCCTAAACTTGAGTTGTCAACTTTCAATGGCAGATTAGAATCATGGCTTTCATTTAAACTGCAATTGGTTCTAACTCACAAATACCTCATATTGAAAAGTTACAATATTTGAAAGGCCAACTGAGAGGCGAAGCCCTAAGACTGGTCAACGCATTTCCAATTACGGCCGATAATTATGTTGAGGTTTGGCAAACTTTATTAACAAGATATGATAACCCAAAGGATCTAATTTCACCCAAATAGATAATGCATTAAGATTACCAAAATTAGCCAATGACAACCATATAATTCAATGTTTAAACTTCTAGATAGCTGCAACGAAATAGTAAGAACAGTGAAGGTATTGGGTTAGCAAATCGATAGTTTATCTGAGGTAAATTTCGTCAAGATCATACAAGATAAGCTTGATAAAACCACAAGAAAACAATGAGAATTGCAGAACAACCCAAGACTTGTGCCTTCAATTAAGGATTTAATGGAATTTTTGGAAATTAACGCAAAAAGCTTGCAGAATTCACCAAATAAAGATTCAAATGTGGAGAAACCTTCAAGGAAAAAGGAATTACAAAAGGTGAATGTTTATAATTCATATATGATAAAATGTGTTAAATGTGAAGGTTCACATGCTCTTTCAAGCTGTAATTTATTTTCTAAATTACCTGAGTCAGAGAGAGTGAATTTTGTTAGTTCGGCTAAATTGTGTTTCAGATTTTTAAAGCCAAACCATTTAGCAAAGAATTGTTATTGCAAAAACATTTGTCAAATTTGCAAGAAAAGACACCACACTTTGATTCACCAAGAAACCAAGGTTCAAGAAGTTGATGAATGGAAATTTGATTGTGGAAAAGACATCAAAAATACAACTTGTCTTCTAAATAATGAGAAATATTTTTCAAATGTCATGCTTACAACCGCTAGGATTAAAATCAAGGATAACAATGGTGTGCCTCAGACATGTAGAGCCTTGATAGACTCAGAGTCTCAGGCGAACTTTATATCAGGAAAATGTAGAAAAAGACTAGGACTTAAATATGTTACCTTACACTCGCAAATATCGGGAATTTCGGGACATTTTGCGAGTCACTCTTATGGACTTATGGAGTTTGAATTTACGCCACATTTCAAATCCGATGAAGTTTTCAAGGTGAACTCCTTGGT